GAGGTGGGCTGAGAAGAGAATGAGGACGGAAACAGATGGGTCGGAAGAGGATGACTGACTTGAAGGGCGCTGCAACCGTGAACGCCACATTCATCGAGACCAATGTTACAGTGGCGGCATAGAGGAAATTGACCATTGTAATGATATGAGGAGTAGTCTTCAAGAATGATTAATGGAAAACTTGGTGCGGGTTGCAGCGACGTACCGTTAATGATAATGTGGCAAGAAAGTCGGCAAAGTATTGAAAGTCGAGGAGATGTTAATGTACAACAGTGAGACCAGCTGGAGAATCATGTAGATGATTGGCTCTGGAATTTATACTAGATCGTTTTGCACTGCAGCGTGAGATCGTGGCTACGATCCAAAGCGGGCGGTCTGCATGTGCTCATGGGCGCTAAAGTGTCCGTCTCCATCACTATATCATGTTGCAAGCAGTGTGAAACTGACATCGGGCGCGGCACTCAAGTTGCGTTTAGAAAATGTCCAGCGCTGATTCGACTGTCTGGCTGATTGAAGGAATAGTACCCCGATTTGGGCATTTTCATTCCTCTGAAGCCGTGTAATTAATCTTGAAACCACGATCATCGGAGCATCTGCGAGCATCTGCGAATCACTGATGAACTTGAATTGATTCAATAAGATTCCTATGGTCCTTAAAGACACGCGAGCGGAGCTACGGCTAAGGGGACGCTCATTTCTTCCTCCAGTGAGCGGTTCTTGTTCACGCAATGTAACCGCAATCCAATGGAATAGTTCTGTGGAGTGAATTGAAGGAAGGAATCTGTTTCTTTCAGTCATTTAGGAATTTTCCATCAGACTGTCGCAATGACGCTGGCGACAATGAACACCGAGAGCTTGACTCAAATTAAATGCAGCCGACTCAGTAACCTTGGTTTTTGGCATCGTTCCACTGCCTCTGTTGCGTATGTTTTCGATTCACTGACCAATCGTCGAGGCACATCGGCGCCGAGCCCAGCTATCAACGATTCTAGCCATGTCTGATGAAAAATACGATGACACGCACTGCTGAACCATAAAACACGTTCAGATCCGAATTTTTGGTCTGTATAAGGTTACAGACAAGAGTGTGGCGTAGTTGACTAAGCGAGATGGCCGTTATCTTATCGCAGGTGGACACAGCCACCCGCGCAACTGGCAAACAAACACCGGCATTCCGGCATTTTTCGATTCTCGCTGCTCAACGTCGCTCGTCGCCTCAACACCAACCACCTCGACAACAGAATGGTGAGTCCGTCTCTAGATTCTTTTCATCCCTGTTGGGCTGTTGGACGAAATCTGAGAGAAACGGATGGCTGGAATCGGTGGATTGGCTTCAGAATTCTGGATGACGCCTGCTGGAAGAAATTTTTAATGGGCGCAAGAAAATGCTCGACGACACTCGTGCTGCTCCTCGAATTCTCCTTCCTAGCTCATATCTTTTCTCCCCAAATCCCCCATCCCCCCTTCCTCAATTCCATTTCTCGAGGCTGGGCTGACTCGTCGATTTTGCAGACCAAAAAAAGAAGATCCGGCGGCAGAAACAAGAAGGGACGTGGCCATGTCGGGTTCATGCGGTACATGTTGCATTGCGCTTGCAAGAATCTAGCTGACCGTCTGTTTCAGCTGCTCCAATTGCTCTCGTTGTGTCCCCAAGGACAAGGCCATCAAGCGCTTCACAGTGCGTAACATGGTCGAGTCTGCTGCAGTGAGAGATATCACCGAGGCTTGCGTGTACAATGGTGCGTTGCCACAATATTATTTCTCTGTCTCTGGATTTATTCTGCTTTTTTCAGAATACGCCATCCCGAAACTCTACATCAAAATTTGCTACTGCGTTTCATGCGCTATCCACTCGCACGGTCAGTCATATTGACGATAAAGATGATTCGCTTTCATTCTGATTCTGCTTCAGTCGTCCGTGTCCGTTCACGTGAAGGTCGTCGTAACCGTGCACCACCTCCGAGGGTGAGGTGGAAGGATGGGAAGAAGGTTCGTCTTTGTCTATCTGGCTGTGATTCTTTCAACTGACTCTATTCCTCAGGTCAACCCAGCCGTCGCAGCCGCAGAGGATGCCAAGCAGAAGGAGGCAGCCAAGACTGCTGCTTGAATGTAGCACCATTATCGTCGGAGACAATTACATGCTTCTTTCTCGACTCGACTTGATCTGTATGATTTGAGGTGGTTTGTGAGAGAACAATCTCAGGAAGGCACGGTTTGTTCCGTAGTGTTTCTTTCCAAAACCGTTATGCGATGCAGGTTTGTTGGTACGTTTACATATTCTAGTTGTGGAAATAGAAATGATAGGTCGTGTCAAGAAGGAAAGAAGTGAGACGGCCTGCCGCCTTGGTCTCGGTCGTCGTCTTGGAGAGATTTTCATACCTGGAAACAATCTCGGCTACGCTGGGTCCGAGTCGAGGGAAAGGAGGTAGCCGAAGAAGTTGCACTAGAATAATACGATGCGCGGGAGATGCTAGTTATCGTGTCCTTTGATCCCAAGATGCTGATGCAAGTCCAAGATTGACTAGGTTCGTCCTCCGAATCAAAGTAATCTTCATCAAAGAGCTCGGAGACTCCGAGTCGAGAGCCGGAACTCGAGCTGACATCGAGGATTTCGTCGGGCTCAAAGAAAACATAGTTGTGTTGGCGAAAGAACCTGAAGTCGAGAAGTCTCCATCCCTGGGAAAAAGCCTGGTGCGCGGTGTAGGCGGTCCATCCAGCCTCGTGAAGGGCGTCGTCGGCGGCCTCGCCAATCTCGGTTGAAAGAGAGCTTGCATACACGAGTTTCCCAGGGAAAGATAGCTAGCTGTAAATGAGAGAATCAGGGTCGTCAAGGGCTCGGAGATCACCAGGACGGACGAAAGTCCATCGCTGACGACGGTATTGGGGTCACTGGAGTGAAAAAGGTTTCAAAGGTGAGAATTGCATTGGATACGCATACCTCTGGCTCCGGCCAATTGTAGCCCCGAATGTGGATGTTTCCTCGGCCTAGGATCTTCTTCATCTTCGTCTGGTTTTCCTTCTCGGTCGCGTTTGATCACGCTAAAGAAGAACTGAGTTGAAAAGCTGCGACCGTTACAAGGATATCTTACTGTTGACGGCGTGCTCGACCAAGCTGTCTAGCTGGATGCTGGCCCATTCTAGGAAGGACCTCTCGCCTAGGCTCATCCAGAGACGATAGATCTCGCAGTAGAACCGTGTGGATTTTGTTTGGGCGTTCTGCTACTTCCGTACTCAACAAGACGTCGAACATCGCCTAGCATCGCCTATCTTCCTTTTGCAAGATAAGGGCGAGGTATGGTCTACGTCCGGGAAATTCAGAGACAAGCTACGGTGCAGGAACTCGTGTGTGACAGTGAAGAAGAGCCGCCGAATGGTCATGGATGATCGATGATGGTGGACTCTGGAGCCTGAGGGTCACAAGTCACGCAGCAGAAAAGAGCGCGCATCAATACTTCGGATTTTCCCGGGTCGGCGGAGTTACTTCTTTCAGGATGAGGCGGACGTAGACCGTTTTGGTTTATATACTCCTGAGGATTTGAATCCTGGAATTTGTCTGCTTTTCAGCAGAAAATGGGGCATACAGGAACAACAGGAGGCGCGCGAACCATTGTGGGTCGCCAGTGCACCAGCAGCGACTGGCAATGTTGCTGGAGTATAGTATGTGTGGTATATCAAGGAAGCTCCATTGAATTCGAACAGTGTGGCTTGCTTGATATAGGACACCAACTATACCTCGGTAACATATGCGTCATGATCATGTTATCAGGGTACTGTATGGTGTGCGTAATGTATCAAGGAAGATGCATTGCATTCAATGAATTGGCAGCCATTGGACCGTGTATTGTGACACAGCGCGAGGTGCTTCGGCCTACCAGGATGGTCTGATCACTGCTTTTGCTACATAGATGGAGAACATATTACTTGAACTATGGAGCAATTGACCCGGAGTCACCTAACTTGCTGATAGTATGACAAACAAGAAGTACTTTCAAGACTCCAGTAGATCAGACCTTTGAATCCTGATTTGAGCGCTAAACCTAACGCATGAGACTCAGAGTCGCCGAGCCTTTGTATATAAACAGAATGAAACTTTAAAAATTTCAGATTCTACCTGGACCGGGATGTACTGCGATGACATTGCTTCTGGAGAGTTTCTCCGAATCTCGGGGTCGGAGAGTGGCCGGCTTGGAGCCGAATAATGGCCGCGAAGCCCTCGATTTCTCAAAAGGTCTAGGTGTTTGCTCCTGAGGATTAAAATTTAAGCATTTGACATAAAATGGTGAACGAAGGACGTGCACCATTTCTTGAGTCATCCAGCGGCGACTGACAAAGCTGCTTTCCCAAAATACCACACATACTGCAATTTGGTAGCATATAGGTGGTGTTAACAAGGTGTAGTATGCGGAGTGTATCAGGAAAGGGCCTCGAAAACGGCCAAGAACCGCGTATTGTGACACGCTCGTCTGGGGCGAGGTGCTCCGGCCTATTTAGTACCGGGATGGGGTGGTCATAGCTTTGCCACATGGATAGAGGGAGGATATGGTACTGAACTGTGGCGCAATTCAGACCTAGGTCTGGAGTCACCGAGATTTCCAGCAAGACGAACAAAAAGTTCTCGCATGCCAATCACATTCGAGAATACCACTAGAACTCTGTTTGCAGTGCTAGTGTAGATCTAATGATTACTTTACAGTGTGAGGATATACTCTCAAGCGATCTGAATACACCGTCTTAAAAATGGCCTATGTTTAACCCGAGCCACTATGCAGCATGCATTCTCCATAGCTTTCGGCTTCCTTGTAGGCCTGACTGGCCAGAACACTTCACTTGCCTTGCATTAAAATGTAAAAGGACACTGAGACAGTCGAGTTGTCGTTCAATGTGGTCGGTTCCAAGGTTGCGTTATATCTAATTTCCGGTTTAACCACAGAGTTGGGGGGGTGGGAGGGTTTATAATCATATCGAGTCAAGAAAATGAGGATCAAAAGATGCAAAAGTGATGGCAACACCGTGGCTTGAACACGGGACCTTCAGATCAATGATTCTGCATATCGACTACACTTCAGTCTGCTGCTCTCCCAACTGAGCTATGTCGCCATAGCAGGCTTCCTATATTAGCAGACATCACGACCTGGAACTGGTATGTAAACCTTTCAAAATGAAAAATCCTGCAATATGTACTCATGTACTTCCGAGCTTCATGAAAATTCCAAATGGATATGCTCGCATTATAAGACAACCGAGAGTGTAATATTGATATTATTGCCACAGGCCCATGAGCCCATTTGCGCTCGTCGCCTTGTTCCAATGTCGACGTTCTCCCGAACGAAACAGATTTCTGGAGTCACTATCAGCCTTTCTTACCAGCGCCGACTATTTGTTAAGCGCATCATATCGGCCAGACTGGATCCCCTCTTGGACTCAGAAAAGCCACGAGGGGTTTTGACATAGTTATTCCAGTGTGGCGAGTCTTCATATATCATTCCATTGAAAGCTTACAATGCACAATAAGGTTCTAATCTCAGACGGGACGAACGTGATGTTGAAGCACATTCAAGACGACGGGACTCCTTACTATGAGATCAATATCATGTAATATTTGAATGGGCTGAATGATCCCCCGAATCACAGCGTACCTCTCCTGAAATCCTTGCTGTACCAGATTCCCCAGATACCAAGATCATTGTGATGCCAATTCTACGCTGGTGGAACGAGCTTCCTTTGAGTACCGTCGGGAGACGATTGAGCTCCTTGGGCAGTTATTCGAGGTCTTTTTTAAAAGAATAACTCAACTTCCTGACGGATGTCTTGAATATCATTGTTGAAAGGGCCTCCACTTTCTACATGCACACAAAATCGCACATCGGTAGGCGTCGTTCCCTTTTCACGCCTATCACCAAGCTCAAAAGTGCAGAGACGCCGGGTTCCGAGAGTTTGAAAGCAAGTCTACCGATTTTAAACATCCAGCCCGGTTCATCTCGCGCACAAAAGCACGACCACGTTACTAAATCATTGATTAGACTTGATGGATCTTGGAGATTCAAGGCGCAAGTCTGTGTTTAACGACCATCAAATAACATGATCTCAAGCCCTATCAAGCCTGTGCTTGAGAAGTCTCAGGACTCGCGTCATTTCCAACGGCCAAGTGTCGGTTCTCGCGGGTGGTCGGGTGTGTCTGCGATCTTTGATAAAGACGAGAGGAGAATTCGGGCCGACTCTCCGTCAGGATCAATCAGGTACGCGTGAGGCAGGAATCGGCGCCGGAACTAAAGTGGAATCGCTCATTCTTGACCAAAAATCCGTCGAGTTAGCTGATTACGACACTGGGAAAAACCTCGAAAAGAGAAGGAAGGAGTTGATGGATTGTGTGACCATGAGATAGATCCTAGAGCAGGCGGAAGAGAACAAGAGCCCAAGGTCGGTTCAGCATACTTCAAGTTGCTGAACTGTATCAACCAAAGATAAGAGCGCTTCAAGTCGGGACCGACTTGAGTGGTCCCACGATCCATCCGCATAGATCGACAAGATCCCTGTCTATATTAGCATGGAACTTCGTGAGTTTTCTTCGCAGAGTGCTGGATTTGTTCTCGCGTGACGAGACACCGTCGTGCACGGTGCACGGGTGTTTCGAAAAAGAATTCTACAACTTGAAGGTGACTGGTTTAAAAGTAGAATAAGGACGACCTGGACGTGCCAAATTAGACAGAAAGGAGTGCAAGCACAGAATAGAATCATGATGTAGCTCCTGGTTTCTTGTGTCCTAGAATTTCGATGTACTGTAAATCAAGGGCTGATGCTGGACTACTAGGCTGGAGCTCGACTAGGAAACGGGTTAGTCTTGGGGTTACCACTTCAAAATGACGCGGAGGAGAGAGGATGATCCGATGGGTATGGAATGGTGGCGTTCCAGTCAGCAAAAGAGTCGACATGCCATGTCGAGGACTGTTTGCCACAGCCCAGTCCCAGTCCAGTTGTTCGCGAGAAATATGGTTAATATGACGAAAAAAGAGACAGCTTGAATATTAAAGAGATCGTGGAAGGTCTAATACTTAGTTTGAGGCTAGCCGTGGTGAGGAGGTCAAGGAATTGAGCACGTGATTGAAATTGTGCTTCTTTCTCAGAATTTTCTCGTATCCATGGTCGACCGAGACGACGACAAAGCTTTTCCCGCAATTCCGACTTGCAATTCTTGAAGCATTGGTGGAAATTAGGCCCCGCAAGGGCTGTAGAGTTGGCGCCATTGTCTCGCGACTTGCGATCCTTGTATGTCGCTTTTCGGTTTTTCTTGCAATCTAACCTGATTTCAGCATCCAATCTCTTCTGTATCGGACCATTACCATTACCTTTACCGCACAAATGTCCTCGTTGGCCAACCTCACCAAGTCAGCCAGCAGACCACTGTCGTTCTACCAAAACCGAAACTGAAATTTTTGCATCACAGCCTCAGGATGGGGAGACGAGATGACCACTCTTTTCTCGGCATATCGAAACATCCATACATTTGCCTTCACCAAAATATGTTCCGTAGACTCGAATTCAGCTCTTTACTCCTCCCTGTCCATTCTTGGGCCGATTCGCCTCTATGTTTACCTCAACAACATATCTCGGCCTCGCGATTGGCTTTGTCGGATTACGCACCTCGAGCTATGGACTGCGATAGATATCCGCTCACAATTCAGCGACACCTTCCTGAAACACCTACCCCAATTGACGCATCTATTTTACCTCAATCACACCTCGGGTCCCGAAATTTCCTCTTTTGCATCCTCCTTGCAATTGAACTCCCGGTTTGTGGTCTGTCTTGTCTGGGTTACCGGGAGTCCAGTATCATCATCTTGGTTTAAGGACCACGATCCACGGATTGTCCTGGCTTTTGACGGCAGAAATAAACAGTGGACTGGTGATGATATGACGCAGGTTCCAGACTACGCCCTTCGCCGGGATTGGTTCGACGCATATTCTTTTCTCAACCAGTGGGGCAGGCAAATGGGAAATGAGCCTGATATGTGGGATTTGGCAGAGGAAAAGGCGGAAATGCAGCGCCGGCTTCGAGAGGCGTCTTAGGTATGTGAATATGTGGCTCTTTTGCGACGCAATCTCATCAAGTCCCTATCAGTTGCCTGCAACAAGGAGGTGTTGAATATTTGAACCTGGGTGCATCGGAGGTCAGGGAACTTTCTACACCGGACGGGTCATCCTCGTCCCGGCCATTGCCATTGGGACAACCTACAAGGTCGGGTGACCGTCGAGATGCCTCCACACACTGGGCTGGGAAAACGGTTGTAAAATGGAGGTAAAAGCCAAGCAAAAGTCGTCAAGAGATTTGTTTCTCCGCACAGTTAGCGATCTTTTTTGATGGCCAGGTACTCCATCAAATTTTAAGCCTAGTTGAAAGCTCACTATTTGGTCAGCGGGACCATATCGTGGCCTATCGTGGCGTCCTCAGGACTGAATGACTGACGGCCGCCATCTTATCATCATGCGTCCTGAAACCCAATTTCAATACCATCTATTGGACCAACCAAATCAGTCTCATGACTCTATCCAATCGCCGACAATCTATAAAGCAAATACAATACTCTAGTCGACGCTGTCTAGCGTCATGCATTTCCTTATTCTCTTTCTTGCTGCTCTCCTTCCCACCGCCCTCGGCCGTATGCATACCAGGCATTTACGTGCGCGAGCAGCATCTTCTGGTTGCGGAAAGACGTCCCCTTGGACCTTCGACGGCAAAGACCATTCGACACAGAAGCTGACTAACGGCAGAACTTTTCTTGTTCATGTACCTGCAACGTACGAATCGGGGACACCTCATGCAGTCGTTTTGAGCTTTCACGGGAACGGCAAGGATTCAGCGCAGCAAGAATCAAGCAGTCAGCTTTCTGCGGCCGGTCGGGTCATCAACGGTGCCGGTATCATTGCGGTTTACCCTCAGGCTGCTCTGGGTCCTGGAAATGGTGACGGTCCTGAAGCATCATGGATCGGAGCCCCATATTCGCCCAACGTCGACGATGTGAGTCTTGACAACAAGACTTACGACAAGATACTTACCTTTGCAGATTGGCTTCATCAACTCCATTCTGGACAGTCTTGAAGCTAACCTCTGCATTGACGCTTCTCGAATATACGCATCAGGCAAAAGTAATGTGCGTCCTAGTCCAATCTAGATGCAGAATATACTGATAGCTCGTTCAGGGAGGTGGATTCGTATGTAACATCCCTTTGGGTCCTTGAATCCTCTCAACAGTTTCGTAGACAAATATCCTAGCCTGTGACCCAAACATGTCTGCTCGCATTGCAGCGTTTGCTCCAGTTTCAGCAGCTCTCTATTCCGGGACTCATCCAATAGATGGTTGCAATCCAGGTCGTCCTGTTCCAATCATCAATTTCCATGGAACTGCCGACGAAACCATCCCATTCACCGGTCGAAAATCCTCCAATTCCGCTTGTTCGTCTCTTCTTCCTTGTCAATACTTGCTAATGAAGAACAGATTTGACACCAGACATCAATGCATATCGCAAGGCCTGGGCTACTCGTAACGGTTGCTCCGCCACTGCCGCCGCCAACCCGACTCTCACTTCTCCTCATGGAAAAACTACGATACATCAAGAATGGGATTGCACCGCCGGAGGGACAGTCGTTGGAGAGACCATCAAGGGTTTGGGACATACATGGCCGACAACATCGACGACCACTTTTGACGGGTCAGACGAGATTATCCAATTTTTCGCCGAGTTTACACGTTGAGTATCACAAAACTCTACAGTATTCGTAATCTTTCTTTCTTCTTATACTAGTCGATGTACCACAATTATGTTTACCAGAATCCAGGTTTTGTCGACACCGACCCAGGCGTAGAGTCCTATCTCGCTCTGAGGGCTCAAGTGGTAGGAGAATAGAGCATGGAAGCGACGCGCAATAATTAGCAGGCAGCTGTGCACATCGCTGTACGAGTGTGGACCGTCCGGCGGACGAGAACCTGTTTCCCTGATGCAGAGAGCCAACTCGTACATTGGATCTCTTGGCAAAAGGCCCTTGAAGTTGAAAGGCCTCGCGATTTGATACGGAAATGGTCTAATTTCCGAGGGATGACCACAGGTTTCTTAAACAAGGCCCAGCTGATTCGCCTGCTCTATTCCGGGTTCTTGCTAGATTTCGAATGTTCCAGGAACCAGACTCTGACTCATTACGCAGGAACCAGCGGAAGGCAGAAAATGCACGTGAAAGAACCTCGCCTTCCTCACGCGCTCATGGTTAAACCAGCACAACTTAGGCAAAGATCCTTTTCCAGCTATTCCACAGGAGTCACGCTTGCTGACCTTCAAGCAATGGTGGAAATACAGCTTTCCAAAGCTGTAGACTCGGAGTTGACGACAATCCACTTTTCTTCAGGACTGGGGTCAGAAACTACGAGCAGCGAAAGAGACATGTGGGAATTGGCAGCGCAGGGTTCGAAATTTGTCTAAGGTCTGTCGTTGACCATCAGATTTTAACACAATCTCATCAAGTTTTCAACTTCTCACCCAGCGGCTGCAACAATGGTGTAGAACACACCGCTGCCGGACGCTCTTGTTTTATCAAGCGGGATGCCCAGAGAAGATTCGGCTTGGATTCGGCTTGATAAAAGGGAGATCCCGCACATGACAAAGTCGTGAACAAGCTCTTTTGGACGAGGGACGACCCGCATGGTATCCCGAGTTTGATCTTTATGAAACCTCATGAAGCATTTTTAAAGCGTCGTTTCGCTTTTTCCTTCTCCAAAAGACGGTCTTCCAATGCTCCCAGTGTTGCTGGTATTCCTGAAGATCTTTTCTGCCGTCTACTGCACCTTCCAACGCACATTCTCACATCTGGGACCGTCGATCGACAAGTCCGATGACTGGGATTTGACACAGCTACCCAATCCCAACGCCACGGGAAACCTCGTATTCGCTACTGCAAGCTCATTCTTGCAACATTGGCCCGCTACACGATATCGCAATGGTAAGTCTTCTTGTCGATCCAACTCGGCAGTTTTATCACGTTTTTCAGGCCATAATGTCGTCGTTGGAAGCATCGCGCCCGGTACCCTGTTCTACCATGGCGTCTATGACGGGCTCATTTCTGCACGTCCAGACTGGCTTGCAACAGATCCCGAACACTCGGCGATTTTCTGTCGACCTTTAGCGGCTGGCCAAGGGTGCTGGCATATAACCTTTGTTTCGACGCGGCCACTAAAAATATTGTATTTCGATGGGAGCAGTGGTTCCAAGATGATGGACGGAACCATGGACAGTCAAGATCTCATCATTTGGGGAAAGATTATGCCAGATAAATGGATGGAGGAGCGAGAAAGAATAAGGAAATTGTGTTCATGGGGGAAACAATTTGGTATTGATGGATTCGTGCGGTACGTAGCTTGTTTCCTCTTCTTCTGAATCATGCTTATTCGCTCTGCAGAATGGAAATGGATTCGTGAGTTGTTTCCACGCAGTTGAGAACCATGTTTGACCTTGATATCAGAGAACTGATGCACTGCGACCTCACGGATCCCAGTCTGGAGGTCGTTTCAAGATCAAAGGTCGTTACCGACCACCCACCGATGCCGTTCCTTAACGATACTCTTCTCACTACGGGCAAGTTCGCACCTCGAACTCCGGCTGAAAGCGTCTATTCTGGATCCTGGCACAACCACTATCCAGGTGACACGAGAATTCGTCTAGACTATTCCAAGCTCGTTTCATTCTACGACACTTCTCTCTTCCCCAGTCTCGTGGCCGCTAGAGCCGGTCAGACTAGAATCCAGCACCGACTTGCGAGCATCTCGGCCGAGGATAGCGCAGCATTCATGGTCCGTCTCGAAACCATTTTGTCAGACGACAAGACATACAGCAGTGGTGTAGATTGGTCGACGCTCTTTCGTGTCATTCAGGATCGATTTACAGACCGGATAGAGATTCTCGAATACCTCTTATCCAACTCGAATGATTGGTCCGACGAAATTCGAGCCAGCAAAGCTCATCTCCAGCTCCACATCATGCTTCAGCCCTACATCCTTCAATCGGCCGCTCCAAATGATTCGTCCGACTCTTGGGCTGCTCCCATTTTCGAGCTCTGCTCGACGAGCCATACTAAATGGATTGCAGCCTCGGCGAGACTTTCTGTCTCTGAACGACTATTGCTTAATGCGGCCGAAGAGACGAATCGTGAGATATGTCGAGTCTTAACAAACTTGTGGGCCGATGGTGTCAATGCTGGTCTGGATTACATTGTCAAACCTCCCACCGGGACCCTCAAAAGCTCAAATGCTGCCCATTTGGTCGACAAGTGGTACAGAGAAGTAAAGAGATTGATGAAGTGGCTAGATTGGAGTGCTTGGCTCAAGTGTAAACCGGCCTGCAATGTCGAGGTTCGTCCTGTTCGTTTCCATCGTCAATGACTGACTCATAACCTCCCTCAGTCAATATGTTACCTTCCAACGTGGCCGTTTTTCAAGAATGGTATCCCAGGAATCCCTAAAGAAGAAACACCTCATTTTGAGGATACTAAAGAGGGCGAGGAGAAGGAGGATTGGGAGGACCCAGAGCCGATATGCTTGCGCAGGATTGAGCCATACGACTTGCCAGGGTTTCCCGACATTGCCTACTACGGTATACCTCGAGAATAAGTAGATGAATTGCATTCCACTGTCTCGCCTATTGGCTCCGAATGCTTGCTACAACTGTAGTACAACTACCGAAAAGTTTGGATTGAGCTGCGGAATCAGGGAACAAGGTTGAAACGGCCGTGAAACAACCCCAAAGCGGATATTCGCCGGGTTCCAGGGACGCGGATTCTGGAAAGTCGCAATCGAAGCTGCAACATGTCTAGTCTTGCCGCCCGCATTCATAGTCGAACGAGAGCAGCCCAACTTTCTAGACATTCCTCTAGAAATCGGACTCCTCATCCTTGAGGCCTTGGCGGAAATCCAGCCTGAAAAGGCTGTGGAACTGGTGACATTGTGTCGCGGCTTGAAGCCTTTGTATGTTGCTTTTCGTTTCTATTCAAGCATGGCTAACAGGAGTTCATCATAAGTAGAACGTCTTTTATATCGAAACATCTACCTCACTTCGAAGAGCTAGCTGTCCGTGTTCATTGACCTCATTAGGTCTGGGAGTCAACCACTTTCATTCTATCAGAGCCGAATCAGAAATCTGTGCATCGAAACCACCGTCGACAGTATCGAAGATGCAGTTACCATGTCGCAACATTCATACTTTGGCTTTTCGCCTGAGTAGTTATCGCAGTCCACATATCACACCTTTTCATTTGTCCTTGTCGACTCTTTGTCCAATCCATGTTTTCATCTTCCCCGACAAGGGTTTGAGCAAGGAAGTTTCCCTGGTCTTCATTGGCTTCATCAAGTCACGCGCCTCGAGTTATTCCTAAACAACAACAGGAAGCGCTCGGCGCCACATAGCCTCGTTACCAGGCCCTCTGAAATCTCGGAGAGATTCCTCGTCAGAGGGCCTGGTAAATCAGAATTATTTTTGGCAGGTCATAAATTTGATGGGATCATGCTTACGAAAAACTCCCGATATGGCTATTTTCCTTTCTTGTGCATTGCACCGTTGGTAGCCTTTCCGTCGATTATTGATTGTTTGGTGGGATGGGACACCTGGGACATGGTAGAATAGTTGAATGGTGGCCCTTAATGAAGATTTTTGGGTGCTCGAGGGTCTATGGCGGACATTTTTCTGACTATTTGACACTGAAACTGCACTGTCTATTGGTCTTGAGGTTGTTATCAATGTGAAAAAACCTCTCAACCTGCTTTGGAGCGCAGCAAGCAAGGATAAAGCACCACCAGCGAAAAGAGTAAATAACCTTATTTGGCGATTTTACATAAGCCAGGTCCATCAAATTTATCACCTGCGAAAAAATATTCTGATTTACAGGTCCCTCTGACGAGGAATCTCTCCGAGATTTCAGAGGGACCAGTTACAGGTCTAGGCGCCACAGTTCAGCGATACCATTCTGCAGTACCTTCCTCGACTCACTCATCTATCTTACATGAATCGCTTTTATGATCCGGCCGAGGTGTTGTCTTTCGCGTCTTCATTGCAGCTCAGCGCCGAATTTGTAGTCTGCATCCTCTGGGTTGGCTACAGGCTGGGACCATCTGAGTCTTGGATCAACATGGATCCCCGCATTATTGTGGCCTTCGACGCGGAAACGGACTCGCATGAGAAGTCCCCGACTATGTCCTTATCTGGAATTGGGCGGACAATTTCCACACGATAATATTGGGCTGTACTCGCGCCTTTGAAGACTTTCCTTGGCGACGCTATCGAAGAAGCAGCAACCAAACGTCTCTCTCTCTCTCTCACACACACACACACACACACACACACACACACCACGGTGACACTCTACACCACAATGACATACGCCACAATACTATACCAAAACAACAAACGACGATTATACCGAAATGAATCTACTAAAATGACAGTGTCCTCTTCCTTTTATCCTTATTCTTTCCTTCTTGAGCCGTCAGACCGCTTCGCCTCACGAGTAAAACAAGTGTCTGGTCTCGTTACTCTTCAAACTCGCTCATGTATTCTCTCAACTCAGACACCTTTGAGATGCAAGTCAGCGAGATGCAGTGCAAGAAATACCTGCGAGAACGAAAATGAAAATACACGGCGCGAGATGCAAGCGAGTCAAAGAAAACTGACGAGATGCAAGCAAGGCGACGAAGAGATGCAAGCAAGGCGATGAAGAGATGCAAGCAAGGCGACGAAGACTCGCGAGATGCAAGTCAAAGACACGGTCGAGATGCAAGGCAAAGAAAACACCGTCTGGGTCTAGGCAAAGAAATAGCCGTGTCATGAAGATGGAAAAAATGTACCAGACTCAATCGCACATGCATTAAGAGGGAATCAAACCCCCGGCGGGTCGAGAAGGCGGCATACATGGCATACGGCAACGACCCGTTACCACTACCCCATTAATGCATGATGAGAGAGGGGGCCCAGGACATCAAATGAATGACGGTGCGCTAGGTGAAGTAATGTGGAGCGTAGAAGGTAAGTCTCCGAGTCTGACGCTGAACTTCATTGTGAGGCTTTCAGACGTTTAATCTGATAGCGAGCTCAATACGAAGACAATCTTTGAATCTGAAAGGTCCTCCGTCATCCATGTCGAGTCCCGTCATCCTGAATCCCCCATTTGCCTCCGATTTCAATGATGAACATCTGCGAATGAGGACTTGACATATCCCGAATCTCCGTCGACACCCACCGAAATCTCGCTCTGTAGTCGCACTCTCCTACAACAGATCAACGAATGGATCGACGAAGGATCTACAAAGGATTGACGAAAAGATCGGAGAAGGATCAACGAAGGATCAACGAAATAATCGAATAAGGATCGAAACACTCGACGCCAAGGACACAAGTGCATACTTTGAGATACAAGACACCCAAAATCGCCTCATCGCGAGACCAACAAACCAACAGCAAATTTCAAGGAATAACAAGCCAACAGAACAAATTCTTGGAGAACAGAATAGATTTCGGAGAACAAACAAGTTGAAGAAACAGCTTGTCTTCTCCTCGTTGTAAGACCCAAAAAATCTCTTCTATTATCTACCCATGCATTAAGAGGGAATCGAACCCTCGGCGGATCAAGACCAAAGATGAGCACTAGTCCACTAGGGCAATCCAGGTTACCACTACCCATTAATGCATAGAAGCGGGGCGCAGGACACCAAGTCATGGGAGATAAGTCTCTGAAATGTGATAGCGAGCTCGATATGAACACAATCCTTGAATATGAACACAACTCCGTCATTCATGTCGAGTCCCGTCATCCTGAATCTCCCCACTTGTCTCTGATTTAGTTACAAACATCTCCCTCGGATTTCATGTACGAACTGTCTCCCTCGGAGTTCAATCACGAGCATCAATTGAGGACTTGTGCCGAACCTCCGTCCCCCCCCGCAATAGACTTGAAATCTCCCTTCGTAACACCAAAAAAAAAAAAAGACTTGAAATCTCCGTCGACACGGACCGAAATCTCGCTCTGTAGTTGCACTCTCCTACGACGGATCGACAAAGGATTGACAAAGAATCGACGAAGGATCGACGAAGAATCAACAACAAAAAGAGCACAATTCTCCCAAGGACATACATACTTTGAGAAGCAAGGCGCCGAAAAGCGCCTCATTGCGAGAACAGCAAGCCAATAAACCGATTTCGAGGAATAACAGGTCGACAGAACGGATTCGAATAGATTTCGGAGAACAAACAAGTTGAAGACAGAGCTTCTCTTCTCCTCGTTGTAACGCCCCAAAAAAAACCATTCTTACACACTATCATTAGGAGGGAATCAAACCTCCGGGGGGTCGAGCAATCTTTTCAGACGAGGATATGGCAACAACCTAGGTTACCACTACCCCACTAATGCATGAAAGGAGAAGTGAAGCGTAGGTAATATCTGACGTTGAGGTATCCGAGTTTGACCTTGATTACGAATCTTTCATCCCTCTGTCTTGGCTTCATTTTTTTGCTGATTCGGCTGACTATTGCCGTCAATTTCCGAGACAAAGAGCTGGGCGTAAGGGAGACATTGGCAGACTTCACGAGCCAGGAAGCTTGGAGTGGCTAGTGGCACAGGGATCCATTCCTTGGAACCTCAAGTCCTCCAGCTGTAGGATAGAGAATAAGCGGGCTCGATGCATAGAGGAAATGTCGGGTTGTGATGGGGATTTAATCTATGTATCAGAATTGATTTCACACAGTGGCTCCTGGTCTGAAGTCCTGCGACACAGTCAATCAGCGTGACTAGGGAGCATCGATATGACCAGCAGGTTCTCCGCTCTCCTCATTGCCGAAAGATTTGCATGTCCTAGCTCAGAGAACGGTGAAAACTGTCGCCCTTGCCACTGAGAAGTCGTGGGAAAACCCGGACCACATTGTGGTTCGGGACAAGGGGCTCCTCTCTGTCTTGGCTTCATACTCGGATTCAGAATGAACGACTCTGTTGACGAGGTCATCCTCGAGTCTAATCCACTCTCTATCAGGCCAATAACAACAACACACTCTATAGTACGTTGTATGTACGAATCCCAAAACCAGAACAACGAACGACGGATTGTAAAAAGAAATGTACCAATAAGTAATACGAAAACCCAAACCAAAAACGGCGTACCAAAATGACAGTGTCCTCTTTCTCTTTCACTTTGTCCGTCTCGTCCTGCCTCGCTTAGTCCCGGCTCGTCTAGTCTCCAAACTCGCTCGTGTATTCTCCAAATTCAGAGATCCAAGTCCAAGAGAAACCTGCGAGATCCAGTCCAAAGAGATACCTGCGAGATCCAGTCTAAAGAGATACCTGGACATGATTTTTATTTATATTATTACATCAAAAAAAGATGGCGTTTGACAAGGTTTTCGAAAGATGCTGTAATTGGACAGCAGTGGACAGCCCTATGATGGAGATGTGGCGGTGTGCTGATGTGATTGATGGGACCTCCGGAAAAATTCCACGCCGATCATTCCATCACCAGTTTCACAGCCTTCCACAGATGTGCCCTTTTGCTGATGTACCTGCCAGATACAATCGCTCTACTTGCCAGATACTAGTATCGCTCTACCAGAATACATTACGGTATCAATATAACAGCTATTGCGTGTTTCCAAGTGATGCTGCAACTGGTAAGGGAGACCCTGGAGTAATCGGAGGCCCGGGAGACAGGAAAATAATCGGTGCCTGGGAGACACCGGAGTCGGTCCCCATCGTCTTATTTCTCAGTCCCTATCGTCTTACTCCGTCTTACTTGTCTCTCAGTTCCAGATAGGGCGTGGGATGGCACTGGGATGGCGCGGAGTCTTTCGCAGTACTTCAGAATCTTGATTTGATTCCGATTCAATCGCTCGATCTTGGCTTCAGACTCGGTCGACACGTTCACAAAGCTCTTGCAGTCTCTGATCATGAATCTCGCATCCGTGCATTCCCAGACCATCAACTTCGCTTCGCATCTATTCCTTTGACCCATGGATAGTCTCGTGCTGCACACATAGTCTCGGATCCAGACGAATGTCGCAGTGAAGGCTCGCTATCCGGAGATCCGGATTGATCCGGCGGAGTTCGAAAAAAAGAGGTTTCACTGCTAAAACCTGCTAAAACCTAGTGTTGCCGCGAGCTGAGTTGGCTCGTAACCAAGCTGAGCTTCAGCTCGATCAATTCCCTTATTAGGTAACTCATACTCGCAAGCTCCAAATCGACCTCGAGTTGGCTCACACGGATGTCCTAATTTAGGTTTTCCCGTACTTTGACATAGATCCCGCTGTATACCTTGATTTTTGCCCTTATAATGACTGTCTTCTGCCTCCAAGTGCTCTGAAAAGGGTGTGGGGCGGTTAACAATATAAGTTGGACCTTGAATTTTCATTAGATATAACATTTCTACTAGAGATGACTTGGTCCGAGATTGCGTGACCTTGGCTGACCCAAATAGGAAATCGGTCAAGCCAACTCGCAAGCCAGCTCGGAAACTCAGCTCAGCTCACATCAAAAAGTTGCCTAATCCGCAGCTCAGGCTGAGCTCCAACTCAGCTCGCGGCAACACTACTAAAACCCACTATTTATTTCAAACCCCGCCGGATCTATCCGGTTCTCCGGATAGCGAGCCTTGGCGAGCCGACGGCTGGTTTCGAGACTACTGCACACTACCGGATAATCTCCGTAATTTTGTGTTAGTCACAATCACATGTCGACTACCATCGGACCACCTTTTATTTTGCGAAAATGATTTTTCTTACTCTCGACGGCCACAGACGCGTAATTCAACCCTTGACTGCGACAAATGGTTCAGAAAAATAAAGTCAAGAAATCTGCGCCTCAAAGCTCCATCATTAAATGGGCTTCGCGCGCCGCCATGTTCTCACTGTTTATCGCAGTATGTGGCTGGCTCGATAGCATCAAGGTCGGTCATTGCTTTTTCACTATGGGCTCTAATTGAACGTATATTCTTCAGCAACGGTGGTATATTTTCGACCCTGCTTTTCTGCATGAGCTCGCACAAGATGCCATTGCTGCTTCTCCCAACGATACTGCTGGCATGGTAGAGCACATTGTTGTCAATCTCACTGCCACTTACCCATCCAACAAAATTGCCCTCAACACCAATAGCAAAGAATGGGTCTTCAACAATGCTGGTGGTGCTATGGGCGCCATGTATGTTATTCATGCGAGCATTACCGAGTATCTCATCATATTTGGGACGCCTTTGGGAACCGAGGGGCACACCGGACTCCATACTGCCGACGATTATTTCAATATTCTCGTCGGTGAGCAGTGGGCTTTCAGTCCAGGTTCATTCGAAATGGAGCGATATCCTGCGGGAAGCGTCCATTTCCTGCCTCGGCTAACATCAAAACAGTACAAGATGCATGAAGGGTGCTTTGCTTTGGAATATGCTCGAGGTATGTCGTCTGTTGACCCACCGCCACATTTTTCACCGTCTCTTCAGGATGGATTCCCTCGATGCTGCCATTTGGTACCCTCGATATGATTTCTTCGACATTAGACATGCCCTCGTTCTATCACACTGCGAAGATAACTGCAAGAGAAATGGGCCGCAACCTATTACGGGGCAAAATCTAGTATAATATCTATGAATTATGCTATCATTATTTGACTCGAGAGATACCGTTCAATCAAGGATGCTCGCTTGGGCCGAATGTCGAGAACTACATCTGTCGAATTTCCATTGAGATTCTGGAGAGGTCTCATCGTCAAGTTCGTCGACGCTCACACCTAGACCAACGCGAACCACGATTAGGGTCGGTGCGATACCCTTGACGGCGTCAGTTGAGGCATGTTGAATGAGAAACTACTCACAACTACTTGCTATAATATCGCCACGACCGAATTATATGCAATGGTCGAAACCTCAGTGGTGGCCAAGGGCCCCATAAACGACAGTGCATATAACTAGCACTACGAGAGCCAAAGGATAGATTATCCCGGTTTCAAGCCTATGGAACAAGTCAACCAAGTTCAAGTTGTGCTCGAGAAGTAATCCAGGCGATTCGTCCTGCTAATACAAAGATGCAACTTGCAACTGTAATATCAATGAGCTGTAATTCGGATCTGTCGCTTCCGGCTTGCCTATGGTACACATAAAGGGAATGCTCAAGAGGACTAATATGCGTCTATCCATCTTCCAAATCACACAGCACCGATACATCTAAAGAGGAATCAGTTAACTGCGGCTGCGGTCAAGGCTGGACACACAATTATACTGTCTGCAAGGAGACTATCGGTAATCAAGCAGGGGAAGAAGGCATAAAGAGGATCACTCAACGTGTAAACAATGAATACCGTTTTGAGAGCAGCGACCAGCCGATTGAGGACCACCTGATCTGGCCCATACAAAAGTGTTCCTCCAGACTCGTCCAATTGGAATATCACATAAATGTTCAATGCTCCAGAGTCACTCATGATCACTAGCGCGTATTCTAGCAGCAGATGAACTGAGATTAAGGTGTACAAAGAAATCATGCAGCCCAGGTGTAACTGGTATTTTGCCCTCTTTCTCGTGCATAAGACATGGACGGACAAGAGAAATAGGACGGAATAGCAGCCTGGCTGAGATGTCAGCGCTTGATGTGGCTAAAATCGCTGCATACCATACAAAATGGACTCTATCTGGCCGGGAAACATCAGGGAAATACCTGATAAAGCTTGGGACTCACTGCTAGCAGAGTGACGAAGGCAACAAGACGCTGCACCATTTTTCGGTAGAGTGGGAAAAGGAAGAAAGGTCAGGTCAAACCCACCTCGATTCTCCGAGACTTTTGATTCAAGGAAGGATGAACATCTGAACGAGAAGATCAATCGACGTCACCTGTCGTCTTGGGATTGGGATGTAGGCAAAAAAACGACTTATGGTTCACTCTATCTAAGCGGAGGAATTGAACAATTGAAGCAGAATTGAGTGCAGCAGGCTCACTGGAGCAGCGTCTGAACCGGTGGTTGCAGGTGGTCCCAGATGCTATCGAGAATTGAAATTGGGAATTAAGAATCAAGTGATGCAGCATGTCCTTCAGACGTCTGTCTTGACTAAGCATATTGATACTACTACATCTTTCGTGTCGAGATTCATTGCATCGAACGGTGAAGATAAAACAAGAGATTATCGTGAAGGACAAGTCTAATAACGCAACATTCTTTCCTAGGGAATTCTATGAGATGCAATAGAACCAGAGAGAGTAAAAGAGACGAACCTGCATCCTCCGAATCTCGTACTGTATTCATACTAGATAATCTTGCATCGTACTCGACTCGTGATAATTTTACAGTGCTCGGATCCATGAGGACTAAGTATCCCAACTCTGCAACGGGAGCAGAAGGATCAACGAAAGATTAACGAAAGGAGTCAGACGGATCAACAAAGGATCAACAAAGGATTAATAGGATCAACGATCAACGAAGGATTAACAAAAGGGAGCGGAAGGATCAACGAAGGATCAAAGAATGATCGACGATCGCAATTCTCCGATGGTCGAGATGAAACCAAAGAAATGCCCTCGAGATCCCGGTAATAAATTTGAGAGGACTGTCAATAGAACCCAACAACGAAGGACTGTCAAGAACAAGCCAAACCGAAAATCTGCGCTGCTCAACGTTACCACTACCCCTTTAATGCATGGAGAGGGTAGGGCGTGGGATGTAAAGGTATCCTTGGGTTCTGCGTCATCTGATCCTCCGGTTCAGAGTCAATTTGAAACGTGGATGCTCTTTACGACTGTGAGTCTCTCGGACTGTTCATGAATCTCTCAACGCTGATCATGAATCCCGGATCCATGGACTCGCAATCCTCCCAATTCGACAATATCAATCTCGTTTTGCTTGGCCTTCTTTCGATCTCCATGAATGATGAGTAATACAATCCCTACGCGATAATATTGAATATTGGGCTGTACTCGCATCTTTGAAGACTTTCCTTGGCGAAACGATCGAAGAAGCATTAACCAAACGATCGACGACCCCAATCTCGAGTCTCACACCTCAATCCAACCTTTCTCTCTCTCTCACCCATCTATATATATCACTTTACACCATAATGACATACGCCACAATACTATACCATACCAAAACAACAAACGACGATTATACCGAAATGAATGTACTAAAATGACAGTGTCCTCTTCTTTTTATTTTTATCCTTCCCTTCTTGAGCCGCCAGACCGGGAATTCTCGCACTGTATTCGCACTTTCCTAGGACGGAATTATCGACCAAGAGGGATCAACGCTCGCAATGCTCCAAAGGACACAAGGGCATGCTTTGAGATGCAAGGCGCTGAAAATCACCGCCTAGCGAACGAACGGAAAATTCCCTCATCGCGAGAACAACAAGCCAACTCGAACAAATTTCAAGGAATAACAAGCCAACAGAACAGATTTTTGAGAAACAAAACAGAATTTTAGAGATCAGATCAGATCTCGGAGAACAAGTCAAAGCAATAATCTCATAACTCAAAAAAGAGGCATCCAGACAACCTATGCATTAAGAAAGAATTGAACCCCCGGGGGGTCGAGAAGGGCATATGACAACGACCCAGATTACCACTACCCCATTAATGCATAAATGGCGTGGGGCGTGGGATGTCATGTGAAGTGGGAGGTAAGACTGACATTGAACTTCATTGCGAGTCTTTTAGCCCCTGATTGAAAGCTCAACATGAAGACAATCCTTGGAATCTGAGAGGTCCTCCGTCATTCATCTCGAATCGCGGTCCTTCGTCATTCCCCTTGATTCCCGGTCCTTGCGCCGTCCCGAATCTCCCCATTTGCCTGATTTTAATCACGAACATCTGCGAATGAGAACTCATGCCGAATACCCGTCAGCCCCTCAAATCTCCGTTGACACCAACCAAGATCTCACTATGAATACTCTCTCAAGACAGAATTATCGACCAAGAAGGATCAACGAAGGATCAACGAAAAGATCGACAAAATGAGCACAATTCTCCAAAGGACATGAGTCACCTTGCTTTAGCTAGCGTTAATTCTATCTGCTTGCTCCCATGATCATGTGCAGTATATACAGCACCAAATATCTTAGTCATATTTCCCGCGCTCTTCTTTTGCTAGATTCTATTAAATGCAGGTCATGCCATTCTGTCCACAACGTCAAACTCTTAGTCATATTTCCCACGCTCTTCTTTTGCTTGAATCCTTAAATGCAGGTCACGCCATTCTGTCAACAACGTCAAACTGATTATCTCACCAGGCCGGACATAAGTATTCTGCAACCTCTTAGGCGCTTCTCCACCAACATGCAGATCTATTTTTATATCCGTGTTTGCCCTCCTGGAAATCAAGTAAGGTTTTGGCTACCAACTAGTTTTGGTCTTGAACTATTGTAGGCCAGAGCACAAGGAAGCACAAGAACTCTGACACTAATAGTCAAGGGCCTCAGGCCAAGTTGAAGAAGATTAAGATAGTGCCTATGGCGAAAGCCAGGCGGCCATAGATAGTACCTATCGTGTTTCTACTTTATCAAGTTGTCATCCTTAAGCAAGGTCCCAATCGACAAAGGCGATCCTTTCATACATAATCCAAAAAGAAAATAGGCGGAACCAAAAGAAAAATCAGACGAAACCAACAAAAAAGGTCTAGGTCAAGTCTCAGTGCATTAAGAGGGAATCGAACCCCCGGCGGGTCGACAGAGTCAACGAACAAGTATCCAAGGATATGGCAACGACCCAGGTTACCACTACCCCATTAATGCATACAACAGGTCGGGCGTGAGACATCAAGTGAGGGACCTGGGATGGTGGGAGGTAAGTCTCTGACGTTCAACTTCATTGCGAGTCTTTCAGCCCCTTCGTTGAATCTGATTGCGAGTCTCTCAGACATTGAATCTGATTGCGAGCTCAATATCCTTGAAATCTGAAAACAAGTCTGTCATTCATTCATCCCGAATCCCCCATTCATTTGCCTCTGATTTTAAAATACGAACCGTCCCCTCGGAGTTGCATCAACAGCATCAATTGGAATCGCGAGCATCAATTGATTGAGGACTTGTACCTTCTCAATCAATTGTACCGAACCTCACATCACCCCCGCAATAGACTTAAAATCTCCGTTGACACGGACCGAAATCTCGCTCTGTAGGTGCACTCTCCTACGACGGACGGAATCATGGACCAAGAGGGATCTAATAAGGATCGACGAAGAATCAACAAAGGATCAATAAGGATCGACAAAGAATCAACGAAGGATCGACGAAGAATCAACAAAGGATCAACAAAGGATCAACAAAGGATCAACGAAATGATCGGAGAAAGATCGACGATCGCAATGCTCCCAAGGACATACATACTTTGAGAAGCAAGGCACCGAAAATCTCCTATGATTGCGAGAACAACAACCCAACAAACCGATTTCGAGGAATTAACAAGCCAACAAACAAACTCTTCGAGAGCAGGACACCTATCGTTCATTCCTCAAATATCGCTCATTCCTCAAATATCGTCGTCGGGATAAAAGCTAGAACAAGTAAAAGAAAGAAAGAAAGAGCTTGTCTTGTTGTTCCAAGTTAATGCCCACAAAAACTCTCAACTGTGATCTGTCATATGCATTAAGAGGGAATTGAACCCCCAGCGGGTCGACAGAGTCAACGAGTAAGCGTACAAAGACATGGCAACGACCCAGGTTACCACTACCCCATTAATGCATACAAGAGGTCGGGCGTGAGACGTGAGGTGAGGGACCGTGAGACATGAAGTGAGGGACCCAGGATGGTGGGAGGTAAGTCTCTAACGTTCAACTCCATTCGAGTCTCTCATCCCTTGAATCTGATTGTGAGCCTTTCAGCCCCTGCGTTGGATCTGAGAACAAGTCGTTCCCCCTTTTGAATATGAACACAACTCCGTCATTCGTGTCGAGTCCCGTCATCCTGAATCTCCCCACTTGTCTCTGATTTAGTTACGAACATCTCCCTCGGATTTCATGTACGAACTGTCTCCCTCGGAGTTCAATATTCAATAATGAGCATCAATTGGAATCACGAACATCAATTGATCGAGGACTTGTACCCATCACCCCCGCGATAGACTTGAAATCTCCGTCGACACGGACCGAAATCTCGCTCTGTAGTTGCACTCTCCCACGACAGACGGAATTATCGACCAAGAGGGATCCAATATGGATCGACGAAGAATCGACGAAGAATCAACTAGGATCGACAAAGAATCAACAAAGAATCGACGAAGGATCAACAAAGGATCGACAAAAAGAGCACAATTCTCCCAGGACATACCTACTTTGAGAAGCAAGGCGCCGAAAATCGCCTCATTGCGAGAACAACAAGCCAACAAACCGATTTCGAGGAATAACAGGCCGATAGAACAGATTCATGGAGAACAGAATAGATTTCGCAGAGTTGTAACGCCCCAAAAACAATACTATGACCAACCATTGCATTAAGAGGGAATCGAATCCCCGACGGGTCGAACGACCTATCAGGCAAAGATATGGCAACGACCCAGGTTACCACTACCCCATTAATGCATACCAGAGGTCGGGCGTGAGACATCAAGTGAGGGACCCGGGATGGTGGGAGGTAAGTCTCTGACGTTCAACTCCATTGCGAGTCTTTCAGCCCCTGCGTTGAATCTGATCGCGAGCTTAATCTGAAAACAAGTCTGTCATTCATTCATCCCGAATTCCCCATCATTTGCCTCTGATTTTAAATACTTACGAACTGTCTCCCTCGGAGTTCCATCAACAGCATCAATTGGAATCACGAGCATCAATTGATTGAGAACTTGAAATCTCCCTCGACACGGACCGAAATCTCGCTCTGTAGTCGCACTCTCCTACGACGGATGGAATTATGGACCAAGAGGGATCCAATAGGGATCGAGAAAGAATCGACGAAGGATCAACAAAGGATCAGCAAAGAATCGAGAAAGAATCGAGAAAGGATCGACAAAAAGAGCACAATTCTCTCAAGGACATACATACAATGAGAAGTAAGGCGCCGAAAAAGGCCTCATTGCGAGCCAACAAACCGATTTCGAGGAATAACAGGCCGACAGAACAGATTCAAATAGATTTCGTAGAACAAACAAGTTAAAGACAGAGCTTCCTTCACGTCTCCTCGCCCCAAAAAGAGGCATTTTCCCACCGTAATGCATTAAGAGGGAATCGAACCCCCGGCGGGTCGAGTAAACGCCTTTGAGTATGCATGGCAACGACCCAGGTTACCACTACCCCATTAATGCATGAAGGAGGTGGGACGAGGGACGTCAACTCAAGGAAAATGGACGTTGCGATGTCCGAGTTGAATTCTCGGCTTGACATGATATTATCCTGGAGTAACAGCCGTTGACACTCGATTCCAGTTCCTCTCTTCATAAATTCACTCCTGATTTTTGTCACCGTCTTGGCTTCAGACTCGGATTTGGAATCTCTATGAGTCTCAGACGCTAATCTCTCGAGTCTCAGACCTGATCTCTCTCTCTCTCTCGCAAAACATCTCTATATCTGTTCTACATCGCAGTCCCATGTACCATAACCAAAACCAAAAACGGTGTACGTGTCCTCTTTCTCTTTCTCTTTCTCTTTCTCTTGTTCTCTTTCACTTTGTCTCGTCCTCTTTCACTTTGTCTTGTTCTTCCCTCTTTGTCTTGTTCTTCCCTTGCCGAGGATGATCGGATGTAGAAGGAACGTCTCGTCCTGCCTCGCTTAGTCCCGGCTCATCTAGTCTCCAAACTCAGAGATCCAGTCCAAGAGATACCCGCAAGATCCAAGTCCAAAGAGACACCTGCTCGATCCAGTCCAAAAAGATACCCCTGCAGGAGATACCTTTGAAACAAACACAAGGCGACGCAATCGCTCTAATATAGAGCCAAAAGAGAATGTTAATATAGGCCAAAAGGATAACATTTCAGAATCATGCATTAAGAGGGAATTGAACCCCCGGCGGGTCGAGAAACCTTTTCAGACGGAATATGGCAACGACCCAGGTTACCACTACCCCATTAATGCATAAAGGAGGCGGGGCTTGGGACCTCAACTCAAGGAAAATGGACGTTGAGATGACCGAGTTGACCTTGATTGCGAGTTGAATTCTCGGCTTGACATGATATTATATTATCCTGGAGTCACGGCGGGTTTGACTGTCGATTCCAGTTCCTCTCTTCATAAATTCACTCCTGATTTTTGCCGCCATCTTGGCTTCAGACTCGGATTTGGAATCTCTCGGATTTGGAATCTCTCGAGTCTCTAGTCTCGAAACCAGCCGTGATCAGCGGTCGGCTCGCCAAGGCTCGCTATCCGGAGAACCGGATGGATCCGGCGGGGTTTGAAATAAATAGTGGGTTTTGACCGCTGAAACGAAACCTCTTATTTTTTTCGAACTCCGCCGGATCGATCCGGTTCTCCGGATAGCGAGCCTCAGCGCGAGCGCTAGCGAGCTTCACTGCGACCTACGTCTGGATCCGAGACTATCGAGTCTCAGACCTGATCTCCCTCTCTCTCTCTCTCGCAAAACATCTCCACATCTGTTCTACATCGCAGTTCAATAACACACGCTACCACGTACCAAAACAACGAACGACGGATTGAAAAAAGAAATGTACCAATAATACGAAAACCCCAACCGAAAACGGTGTACCAAAATGACAGTGTCCCCTTTCTCTTTCTTTTTCACTTTGTCTCGTCCTCTTGTTCCTCCCTTGCCGAGGATGATCAGATGTAGAAGGAACATCTCGTCCTGCCTCGCTCAGTCCCGGCTCGTCTAGTCTCCAAACTCGCTCGTGTATGCTCCAAACTCAGAGATCCAAAGAGATACTCGCAAGATCCAGTGCAAGAGATACCTTTGAAATAAATGCAAAGCGACGCAATCGCTCTAATATAGGCCAAAAGGAGAACCGATTAGATGTATGCATTAAGAGGGAATTGAACCCCCGGCGGGTCGACAGAGTCAACAGGTGCAACGTATGGCAACGACCCAGGTTACCACTACCCCATTAATGCATACAACAGGTCGGGCGTGAGACGTCAAGTGAGGGACCCAGGAGGGTGGAAGGTAAGACTGACATTGAATCATCCTGAACCTCGGATTTCATGTATGCATCTCCCTCTGATTTCATGTACGAACTCTCTCCTTCGGAATTTAATCACGAACATTTCCAAATGAGGACTCCACCGCCTGACAAAAAGAAGCTCGTAGAATATATCTTCATGCATTAAGAGGGAATTGAACCCCCGGCGGGTCGACAGAGTCAACAGGTGCAACATATGGCAACGACCCAGGTTACCACTACCCCATTAATGCATACAACAGGTCGGGCGTGAGACGTCAGGTGAGGGACCCGGGATGGTGGGAGGTAAGTCTCTGACGTTCAACTTCATTGCGAGTCTTTCAGCCCCTGCGTTGAATCTGGTTGCGAGTCTCTCGGGCGTTGAATCTGATCGCGAGCTCAATATCCTCAAAATCTGAAAAATATCCTTGAAATCTGAAAACAAGTCTGTCCGTCATTCATCCCGAATCCCCCATTCATTTGCCTCTGATTTTAAATACGAACCGTCTTCCTCGGAGTTGCATCAACAACGTCAATTGGAATATTTCACGAGCATCAATTGATTGAGAACTTATACCGAGTCTCCACCACCTCGCAATACACCTCAAATCGTCTCAAATCTCCGTCGACAGGGACCGAGTCTCGTTCTATAGTCACACTCTCCTATGACGGACGGAATTATCGACCAAGAGGGATCCAATAAGGATCAACAAAGGATCAACAAAGGATCAACAAAGTTTGGACAAAGGATCAACGAATTGATCGGAGAAAGATCGACGATCGCAATGCTCCCAATGACATACATACTTTGACAAGCAAGGCGCCAAAAAACGCCTCATTGCGAGAACAACAAGCCACCAAACCGATTTCGAGAACAACGAGCCACCAAACCGATTTCGAGGAATAACAGGCCGAGAGAGTAGATTCATGGAGAACAGAATAGATTCGCGCGGGGCGGAATAGATTTCGGAGAGCAGAATAGATTCACGGAGAACAGAATAGATTCACGGAGAACAGAATAGACTCTTGGAGAACCGAATAGATCTGCGGAGGGTTGTAACGCCCCAAAAAAACTCTGTCCTCAACAGCATTGCATTAAGAGGGAATTGAACCCCCGGCGGGTCGACGCAGTGTACGAGAGTATGTATGGCAACGACCCAGGTTACCACTACCCCATTAATGCATACAGGACGTGGGGCGAGGGACGTCAACTCCAGGAAAATGGACGTTGAGATGTGCGAGTTGACCTTGATTGCGAGTCTCCGTCTTGGCTTCAGACTCTGATTTGGAATCTCTACGACTCTGTTGACGAGACAAGTCTCGAGTCCCAGATGCTAATCTCTCTCTCTCTCGCAAAACATCCACATATCTGTTCTACATCGCAGTCCACGTACCAAAACAACGAACGACGGATTGTAAAAAGAAATATACCAATACTTGATACGAAACCCCAACCGAAAACGGTGTACGTGTCCTCTTTCACTTTCTCTTGTTCTTCCCTTGCCGATAATGATCAGATGCAGAAGGAACGTCTCGTCCTGCCTCGCCTAGTCCCGGCTCGTCTAGTCTCCAAACTCGCTCGTGTATTCTCCAAACTCGCTTGTCCAGTCTCCAAACTCAGAGATCTAAGTCCAAGAGATACCTTCCAGATCCAGTGTAAAGAGACAAGATCCAGTCCAAAGGAATACCTTTGAAATAAACGCAAGACAACACAATCGCTCTAATATAGGCCAAAAAGAGAACAGGAGCATGCATTAAGAGGGAATCGAACCCCCGGCGGGTCGAGCTATACTCTATATTCACAACATTTATGGCAACGACCCAGGTTACCACTACCCCATTAATGCATACAGGCTGCGGGACGAGGGACGTCAACTCAAGGAAAATGGACGTTGAGATGACCTTGATTGCGAGTCTCCGTCTTGGCTTCAGAATCTCCACGACAGTCTCGAGTCTCAGACCTTCTCTCTCTCTCTCTCTCTCTCTCTCACAAAACATCTCTATATCTGTTCTACATCGTAGTCCAATAACATACCACGTACCAAAACAACGAACGACGGATTGTAAAAAGAATATTCACCACGTTTCGGTGCCATATCCTCCAAGGGGAAATTACGCAAGTCTGTTCACAGGGTGCGAGTAGACTTGGAGTAGGTCGGAGTAGATGAGCAGTTCCAAGGGTGGAGTAGATTGGTACATAGTCATCCTAAGTCAAGCAGATACTAGTTTTATTGAGCGTCTGTAAACGCATCGTGGTCTCTGCCAGACTGCAGAATCCAGATTAAAGTCGAACATATCACGGGGCAGGTCACACTTCAGTCACAAACGTGACTTGTGATGTCACATTTGTTGAAAACCGCAACGAAGTCAGATTTACAGGTAATTTACAGGTAGAATTGTTGCACTCAGGGCTCCGCATCCCCTCGGTGGTCGTCTTCATCATCAAACATAATGATATGCTATGATAAAAGCAATAAATGAGGATGTCATGAACTTCAAAAGGAAGGTCGCCTTACCCGAGCCATTGTCGTTGTAATCCAAAGCGGAGGATCCGTAGTACGAACTACACCGCGTGCAAGCTGGCAGGAGACAGTGTGTAATGGAATGATGAGAGGTAGATTCTGCTCTTGCGCTTCTGCGGGCGTGAGTCGCTTGCCGAAATGCCAAGTCTCGATCTCAAGCTCTGGACTGGCTGGAAGTCAGCAGATGCGGTTTAATGAGTGAAACATAACTCACAAAGCTGCCCAAGGATCATCCTCAACAGGAGAGAGATCTGCATAGTCCATCCAATCAATAGCTGCGAATACGATATCCTGATTGATTTTGGACTGCCGGTGGAGAAACAGCTCGCGAACTTCGCCACCTTTGCGTTTTCCATCAATGACGACCTTGACGATTGATGATCCAGCTGATCTGCGCAAGGTGCGAGAAGTCGGACTAATGCGTCGTCCGTCCAGAGTTGCATAATTCAATCGCCGAGCAAACCGAGATATGGCTGTCGAATTGGGCTGGACATGTTTCTCCATGTCCAAATGGAAGGGACCGTGTCGTCCTGAGTTGTAGAAAGTCTTGAGTCCAAGTCTCTCGAGATCTGCGAGCTCGTCACTTGGTCTCGCTGTCGACTTGGCAGGATAGACAAGGGATCCAGGAGCAACTCGGGATTCTTCTGGGAATATTTGCGCATCGTTCAATTGAGTGGCACGAGCTAGAATATGAAATGAATCCATGAGTGCCACATATAACAGAGAGCTTACCAGATGCTGCATCAGCGACGGTACCGATTGACTCTCCCGTTTGTGATAGCAAACGACGCAAGACTGCTTTCGCCACAGGATCAGCATCTGTGGACAAGATGACCTGGCGCATCTGATGTTTGAAGTCATAAGTCATATTTGAATCACAAAGAGAAGCAGCTTACATGAGATTCGACGGATGCAGATCGATTGAACTCCCGCAGCATCGTTATTTCCAGTTGGCCGTGAACATGATTGTTGCTATTCATGTTCTTCAGAATTTTGTTGAGGCGCTCGGTCAAGAATGCCCAGAAGTTGTAGACGGGTCCGTAATCGCGGATCTGTGGTGGTAGATGGATCACCCAATGGTGGTTCGGTTTCATGCTTTTGACGCCGTACAGCTATAATTCATGATGTCAGTAAATTGACTGATTTCATCACAAAATGGAAACATACGAATCTATATTGCAGCAGATAGTCTTCCAAGAGCTTCTCAGCTTTCGTTAGTCCGTCTTGAGTAACTATTCCAGCCGTCATTAGCTTGAGGGCAGTCGAGAATCGAAGGAAGTTTGTTGGCTCGTCGAAATGCATTCTGGGACGATCCGGCTTCTCTGGCTCTTTGGGCTTTGTTCCGCGTCTCCTTTGCTTCCATCGGTCGAACGCTTCTTTGTAGTCAGCAAGCTTTTGCTTATATTCTTCCTTCTCAGCTTTCTGCTTTTCGACCTCCTCAGGCGGCAGAAATGCTTCCCAAACCACCGGAATCTAGGAGGCATTAGCAACAAGGTCGAACAGGCATTCAATACATACAATGATGGGCAATGCAGTCGTGACGGCGAACTTGTATGCATCACAGGTAAGGGATCCGCCGGCGGATTCTCCCATACGACTAGGTAATTTCCCAGCCCACAGAGGTGCTTCGAACTGAAGCATTCATTAATGACAGCCACGGCATAGACAAATAATGACTCACATCTTCAAGGTATGCATGAATCATAGCAAGTTCACGAGGTCGGAGAGGTGTTGATGGACGAAGAGTATTGGTCTGGATCCATTCCGAAAACCATTGTGCTTTGGAAAGACCTGTAGATAGATTAGAAAGCACTCTTAGCCAGTCGAAAGACATACCAGCAAGAAAAATGTGCATCGGGTCAAGGACCGTCATGCGGACGGGATCAAAGTAGGGAAGCCGAGCGAACTCGCTCCAACGGACACCGTGTTCAGTGAAGAATGCTTGACGTTCAGCTGGGCTGAGTCCTTTCCATTCATAACATTTGCGTCGATGCTCCTCTCCATCTCGTAAAGGAAACCCTGTAGATTTCAGGTCAGACCAAAGGGAAACAAAGACCAAGGTGTTTCGAACCTTTTTGAAGAGCTTCGGGGCTGAATAACTCTGCATGCGTAGCTTTACATTTCGTACATGGTGCCACATTGTGGCGGTGATCACCGAAGCCACACATCTTGCACATGGCGGGGTGGTCACATACGACAGCCAGCACTGCGAGTCTGGCAAGTCGACCTGTGAAGTGTGAGAATACAGATCAAGGTCAACGACAGAGCTTACCTTCTGGGCTATTTGGAGTTATGTATGATTTTCCGGCATTGTACAGCATCAAAAGGTCCTCGACAAAGCGTTCGAGGTAGCTCTGAAGCTGCTCAGCATTAGGTTCATTCGGACCAGGAGTAAATCCGCAAATGAGTATATTTCCGGTGCGATACCTATTTACGATGAGGTCAGGATAGATTTTCAAAATGAAAGTCAAAAACATACCTCAGATGATCTTCAAGGTTCGAAAAGCAAACTGAAAGGACACCCGAGGAATGGCTGGGACCAGACTTTCCCGTCGATGGGTCAAACCTACGTGTCCATGAGAAAAGGTGATGCGATAAAGAAATGACGACTTCTCACCAGTCAAATCCAACGGTAACTCCGATACGGAGCTCTGAAGTCTCATGGTCAAAGAATGAGTTCCCATCTTTGTCTTTCAGCTCTTTCCAGACAAGACCATCCCGAATGGTTTTGAGATCCGAGGAATTATTCTTGGGGAGCGAGCGCCACGATTCCAAAGCCTCCTCCATGCCAGGACGAGCAAGAAAATCGGAGAGAAGAGACGACAATGTCGCAAGCGGTGCGACATTGTATGGCAGCGAAGCGGGTTGGCGACTTGGATCCGGTTCTGCTTCGGGATCCACGCTCAAGGTGCTGAGACTTGGTTGGTTGAGCGCACTGTCACAGTGATCACAATTGGTCACATTGACTTGCTCTGGCGAGAAGAGCTTGTGGCAAACGGGACAAACTCGATAGACGATGAACTGGTCTTTGAGTCCCATACGATGGAAAACAGTCTGGAGGGTGAAAGGTATCGGTTTGTTGATGCGCCCCAGGGTCAGAAAGACTGCATTCAAGCAAAAAAGCATTGCAGCGCATGCTCGGAATGACACCTGATATCGTGTATGCAGGAAAGCAACACAAAGAAGGGTGAGCGCAACAAGCCAGTCTTGATGCAGTCGGTGTTGTGTATTGTCGGCGGTCGTGACTGGTTCTGCTCGCTGGACTGGAGGAGTGACAATGGGACCTGAGGCTCTTGACCGAATATGCTGTCGTCTAGGAGTGACTGGTTCTGGTTGAGCTGGTATCACATCCGGGTGATATTCTGAATCAGTGTCGATTGGCTGGTCAGAATTGATTGGCGGCTCCGCACAGATATCCAAATCGATTGGTGGCTCCGAACGAATGTCCGAACCAGAGCTGTCTCGATGTGGATCTGAGACATTGCTGACAGACTGGAAAGGGCCCATTGGACGACGATCAAGCCTGTTGCTAAATGAAACGCCAGTAGGAAGTCTACAATGATATGTCAGTGCTGAAAATCAGGTCAATAAATGAAACGACATACATCCGGCCTTGCGAACGAGGATTTTGGGCCCCAGAGAAACGAACTGGACCACCACGGCCTGAAAAAGTATTCACCTCTGGCTATCTCATTGGATTAGTGGTTGCCACGAATTATCGAACATAACGTGCATACCGGTTGGGATCCTCGACCCACATTTATATGAGGCTTGCCTCCACGAGCAGAGAATGAATTTGGATCCATATGGCCAATCGAGACAGCAGAAAAACAAGATGGATGCCACCAGGGATTCTGGTGGCATCCACGCGATGGCGGCAGAACAAGAGAGTGATGTGATGTGACCAATGTGACCAATGAGCTGGCGCAATGCAAGAAAATGTTTGGTATTACAATCTAAGTAATCGACAAAATATCTTTTGAGAAGAGAAACTACAATGCAAGACGGGGTACTGGACGGTCTCCTGGAGCTCGAGCTTGACTTTCTCGAGACCACCAACGTCGTCCAAAGTGACGGTGGGTACTTCGACCACAGTTTTGTGGAGAGCAGACGGGTTGGAGGTTCCAAGGGCAAAACGGAAATTCTCTATGGTGACACCAAGCGAATCGAGGACTTCAGCGTCGATGGTGTCCTCATCATCTCTCGGATTTGCTGCATAGCAGCAATCTGGAAATATAAGGCCGAGGTATCCAGGAAAACCTGACTAGCATGGGCAAGCTGGACGTCGTCGAGGATATCCTGAGCTCCACCGCCGACCGCTATCC